GATCGAGAGGTGGGTGTAGTTGGGAGATCGAGAGGTGGGTGTAGTTGGGAGATCGAGAGGTGGGTGTAGTTGGGAGATGGAGGAGGTGGGTGTAGTTGGGAGATTGAGGAGGTGGGTGTAGTTGGGAGATTGAGGAGGTGGGTGTAGGATTTAGGATGGGTGGTTACAACTGGATATACTTTTCACGATGAACTGTTATTGTCATTTATTGACTTCTATGATACGGAGATGTAATTAGATATACCAGATCACAACACGGTGTCGTGTCACAGAAGATTAGTAACTGAGGCTAATCCGATTGTCCGTAAGACAACTGTCACGTATTATGGGACATCTGTTATCGTCTGCGGCCATATCTGCAGTTTACAAATACTCACACAATGACACAAACATTGCTCTGGTATCACGTGGTTATCTGGGGACACGGGTCGCCCAGTCGTCTAAGGCGCCGCGATTCGGTGTGCAGAGTTGCGTCCCTTGGGCACCCAAGAAACCTATGATTGTGGGTTCGAATCCCGGTTCGCCCTGATTATGTTTCTAGGTTTGTCAGCAAGATACCCGTGCTCGTGGGTTTCACCGAAGTGGTTAACGTCTGAGACCTGCATCACTTCGGGCTTTCCTCCCACATTAAGCTGACACGACGTGATATTACTTGAATAACGTTCAAAGCGGCGTTAAACCCAACTCACTCACTCACTCATGGTTATCTATAGAAGAATGACTGCTCTTTGTTTCTTTTTGTTTGTTTGTTTGATTTTTGTTGGGTTTTTTGTTTTTGTATTTTGGGGGGTTGTTTTGTTTTTGTATTTTGAGGGGGGGTATTCACTCTTCATTTGTAATCCCCCTTCTACAATTTGCTTCACAGATACTGGTCCCATGGACTCCTATTGCTTTCTTCAAATAAAATAACATCTTAAATTCAAATACACCACACTCCCATACAATAGCGAGGCGGGTGGATAGACCAGTGGTTAACGCGTTCGCCTGTCCCCGGTGCGATTACTCACAGTGTGTGGGGATCCGGATCAGAAATCCTTGTTTAGGGCCGGGTCTAGGAGCAAGGGTGTGGAAAGTCCGACCAGTCTGTCAACTCCTGGGGATTCCCCGTTAGAATAGGACCTCGGCAACCCATGCTTGTCGTAAGAGGCAACTACGTGAATCGGTGGTCAGGCTCGCTGATTGTCTGGCCCAGACACCATTATTTACAGACCGCAACCATATTTTATAGCTGCATGGAATATTGATGAGTGTGGCGTTAAAACATTTTCTCGTTATTTCAATTATTTCCTCAAAATTTAGATTTTTTTCTCATTTGATCAATCATTTCCGAAATTTTCACGTAATTTCGATTATTTTCTCGTAATTTCAGGTTTATTTCAAAAACTGGAAATTGCGAATTTAAAAAAAAAATACGATACAATTATTGAAATTACGAAAAGAAATGTATTGAAGTAACGAGAATAAACTCGAAATTTCGAACTTTTTATAAATTGAATAACGAGGAAATAATCGAAGCTAAGAGAAAAAAATCGAAATTTATAGAAATAATTGAAATAACGAGAAGACAATAAAAATTTGGAGTTTTTGTGACAAACTTTAAATAACGAGAACAAAATTGGAGTAACAAGAAAAAACTCGTAATTTGCAAGTAAATAATTGAAATTACGAGAAAATAATCAAAGTAACGAGAAAATAATCGAAATAAAGAGAAAAGGTTCGAAGCAACAACAAAATATGTATTTACGAGTTTTGAAATAACGAGAAAATAATCCTAATTACGAAAAAATGATTTAAATTACAAAAATATATTCGAAAAGAAAAAACGAAATTTCAAAACAAAAAAGAGATAACTGAAATATGAAGAAACATTGATTTAAAAAAAAAGATAATTATGCTTCCCAAGTTGCACCATTAGGCTTGTATATAATAGGGGAAATACGGTATAAGAACCGAACTGAAATTACGGCATGTTCCCAGTCCCTTAAGTGCTTCTTGTTAGAGCCGTCTGAAATGGGGATTGGTTGGTCAGTCTCGGTGACTTGGCAGATTATACGTGTTATCGGGCATTGACTGCGTGGACAGTTGCTCATGCTTTCAGCCACTGGTTTGTCTGGTCCACACTCGATCTGTCCCGGGAGGATCCGGGGTAGAATAGATCTTCAGCAACCCATGCTTGTCGTAAGAGGAGACTAACGGGATTGGGTGGTCAGGCTCGCTGACTTGTTTGATGCATGTGATCGATCCCAATTGCGTGGATCGATGCTCATGATATTAATCACTGGATTGTCTGGTCCAGACATGATTATTTACAGACCGCCGTCATATAGCTAGAATATTGCTGAGTGCGGCGTTTAACAACAAACCAACCAACCAAACCAACTATATCTGGTGTACCCCGCTGTGAGAGTGCAAGAATACCGCTACAGGCAGCGTTAAGCAATACTCACTCTAACGGTAATCTCCAGGGAAGTTGTTTCAGTTTCAGGGACAGCTTTTATTAAGGGAAAAACCCACGGATATTTAAAGACCTCACATGTTGGCTTCATAGCTGACTTGAACGTGTTTTTTTATTAGATATGCGAATGGGTTTCGTGGTTTCCATCACCGTATATTTGTATTTACCAGTAAGCGTGATGAAACATCTGTTCTTTGTGATCAGAAAATCAAAGGAAGTGTTGCGAACAACTGGGGATTTTTTTAAATATGAAAGACGACATTGTTAATAAGAATGGGTACTTAACTTCTTGTAAAGCAGTGAACTCTTCCGTATGTTTCATCATTCTTGTGTTGTAATTAATTTTGTTTCGGCGAATGGAATTAAAACTTTAATGGGGGATATACCTTATTTTAAATGGGGGATATACCTTATTTTACACGCCAATATGGTTTGCAATTTCTTTATATACTAGGGCAGGTAAATTATACACGAATACAATGTATTGTACTTTTTTATATTCCTGGTTTTATTTGGTCTTTAATAGACAACACTATTGGAATAAATCAAAATGATGTTAACCTCACAACTAGCTAAGAATGCCACACCATTTAGTGCATGGCCCGTTTACGTTGTTAATTGTTTCATAATGGTTGTGCAGAATTTGCGTCCCTTGGGCACGCCAGAAACCTATGGTTGTGGGTTCGAATCCCGGTTCGCCCCGATTATGTTTCTAGGTTTGTCAGCACCATACCCGTGCTCGTGGGTTTCACCGAAGTGGTAAACGTCTGAGACCTGCATCACTTCGGGCTTTCCTCCCACATTAAGCTGACACGCCGTGATATACTGGAATAGTGTTAAAAGCGGCGTTAAACCCAACTCACTCACTCACTCATAATGGTTGAGTGGGGTCTTGCCGAGACAGTACCACATGTTTCAAACAGCACGGTGGTCAGTCTCGGCTCTGTCCGGGCAAGTATTGGAGGCTGCGGCGTTATACAACATCCGTTCACACGCTTCTAGCTCTCTATGAACCAACACCTTTCAACTTTGCAAAACTGAAAACCTTGCCACGAAAATTAACATAATGCTTGCTGATGTATTGTTGCAGAAAAGATTAATTAAATGCAAGTGGGAAATATCATTTAGTTACTCATTAGAAATTTACAACAGCTCTTGGTCCATGCAATTTTCAAAAGACAAGTCGGAATATTAATGGCTACTATCCCTGCTGGCTTTCTCGTCCTCGTAGAAACTTTCCACTTTCAGTAACACAGGGTCAACACAGGGTCAACACAGGGACAACACAGGGACAACACAGGGTCAACACAGGGACAACACAGGGTCAACACAGGGTCAACACAGGGTCAACACAGGGACAACACAGGGTCAACACAGGGACAACACAGGGTCAACACAGGGTCAACACAGGGACAACACAGGGTGGCCTTAGAAGGCGCCGCAATTACCTGTGCAGAGTTGCGTTTCGTTTGGCACCCAAGAAACCTATGATCGTGGGTTCGAATCCCGATTCTCCCCGATTATGTTTCTAGGTTTGTCAGCACCATACCAGTGCTCGTGGGTTTCGCCGAAGTGGTAAACGTCAATAAGACGGGCTTTCCTCCCACAATAATATGTGAGCATTCCTCATACCCAGTTAATGGTTAATATTTCCTTTTTTAATATATTAAAATAGGGGATGTTGGCTGAAATGCATACAACGTTAACTATCATAGTCCGTGTCATGATGAGGAATGCAAAATATAATGGACGTTTACTGTTATATGTTTTTTGTTTAACGCCGCACTGAGCAATATTCTAGACACATGGCGCTTGTTTACTGTTATAAATTTATGGAAACCCTTATATAGATCAAAACAAATTACACAAAAGAAATTATCAACCATAAGGTTAACAAGTAATCAAATTTGTAATAAAGCGTTAGATTCCATCTGAAAGTGCAGATATTGCACAACCCACATTTAACGGAAAAAATCACTTTTCAGCTGCTAGTATATATTCCTCAACCAAATCTTTTATCTTTAATTTCCCTGACCTTTGGGAACCCTGTCAAATGATGAATTATCTATGAATACACAAGGTTGAATAATCTTCCAGCATAAAGTGTTATTACTTAGAACAAGCGTTTTGTGGGAATTATCACTACAAGTGATGTGAAAACCATGTGTTTCAACAGACGGTTTATGTTGTGCATTGATGTGTCGTTAAGAGAACACTACATGTGTGCCGGGCTTCCCATGGTGCATTATGGAAGTGACGTCATACAACACTTAGCCATAGTGCGCCATTTTGATATGTCTTCTATGAAACTACGTTAAATGTCAAATCCAATGACATCCTCTATTAACGAGTATTCCAGTGGAATTTAAATCCCTCTGCAAATTGCTAAAGCATTTGAAAAAATTAGAGCAAGATCCATTTTGATTCATGATGGCGGGTAGGTGCAAAATTATTAATCTTTTCGAGTCTTGACAGCGTCTTTCCGGCATGAAGATAAGATTCACTCGCGACTTAGCATGATAATGAATGTTTTTTGCTTTTTCAGGCAATGGCGGGGAGATTCAGTGGTGTTTCTCACAAGTTAAAGGGACGATTGAAGATGAAGTGACTGAAGGTATATTAGTCCTCGTTACTTTGATATTGCATATGTAATAAGCTGTAAATTCATTCCTGTCTGCCCAACTCCCACTCGTCTGAAACAAGTATTCGACACAGAGCCCGCCTGATCTATATATCTGATCCAATTCTTTCCTCATCAGAGAACGGTCTTCGGACAAGATCTTGGTTATTGTATATATTGATTCGAGGTAAATGGTTAAAGTGTGGAAGAGACGTAGACCTACAGCACGTTTATTATCTGTCAAAAACTGTAGTTTGCAGGTGTCTGTTTCTATCGCAGATAATGCTAGATGTTCACAAATGGAATTTCATGTTTTACATTTGCATTCTCTGTTGCCGTCTTGTTGTTTGCACGTATCCTTTGATGTTTATCACTCGTTTTCACGAGGGCATCATACCAGGTCTAGATAGGCCTCGTTGAAGGTTAACGGAAGTACCTCGCTACCGGTGTTGCAACGGGAATGTGTCTCTTTGAATTGTTTCTTCGTTCTATTTCGGGCATGGCTCTCCTGATATTATACTGTGCTTACACCATAGCATCTTATTTGCTTTTCCTGATTTGTCAGCTGACAATTCTATTCTAATAGTAATACTATTCATTTCATGAAATGCCATTGCAGGTATTTAGATGGATTAGGCAAGTGGGAATGGACATTGACTGTCATCCCAAATGTGCAAAGCTTTTTTTATCAAATTTGCTTTTAGTGTAAATACACCCCCAAAATCTCCATAACCCAATTAATTTTGAGTTGCTTGCGTACAAACAAACATTTAGAATCGCAGTAGTACAATATTGTGCACAAGTACACAGTGTAGCCTATTCAGCTTGCGTTTGAATGTCTTTACATGTCTGTAGGCATCACATATGCATGTCTACTGCAGTGAATTATGCACCTAAGGGCTATGTCTGGTTTGGACGTATCGCTGTTGTCAGCGTATGCAACAATAACACGCTTGGAGCAGCACATGAACATCAGCAAATTTGAAGTGACCTGAATCGGCATTTTATGCAGAAAGTATTTATAAAATTGGCTATTCTTCAGTTTTAAAATATCCACCAGACTGAACCCAAGTGAGTTAAAATATATTGAAAACCGAAAGGAAATTATCAATACTCAATGGCCAAATAATGAAAATGTCAATTTGTCTGACAAAATCTCTTGTTCTGACCCACTTTGGATGTTTATGATCTGCCAAATATTCCAAAATGCAGTTATATATGGCATTTGTTTTCTGAATGTTCCTGTCCTTATGGTTGCATAAATAATTTGTTTGTGCATGTTAACATTAAAAATGTCAACTTTTACCTTATGCCTGCCATGTTTGACATTGTTTGTTGTGAAGTGCTGTCCTCAGCAATACTCATGATACATGATGGCCTGTAAATCCTGTTCATTTGTCTTGGCATGGTTATTATTCGTTTGCTCCTATGTCCACCCGCTTTTTTAAAATGTACATCACAATATTCTATTAGTACATGAAATCTACATTGAAATCAATAAAAATGTTGATCCACAGTTCCTGTTTTTGCAGCCGACATAATTTCCTGTGTCGAGTTCAACAGCGATGGGGATTTGCTAGCCACTGGTGATAAAGGCGGACGTGTTGTCATATTCCAGCGCGACAGGGTGGTTAGTAAAACATTACTGTTTTGTTACACGTTAACTAATTGTTATGTGCTGTGCCAGCAAGAATGAAGTCTTAAAAGTATCGTATTTCTTTAAACAAAGGTATACAAGTTTGTTTTAAAAAAAAGGAGTATTTCTGTGGCCTTTTTGTCTGAGTCTGTATATCTGTACATACTTAATCAGTGATTTACTTTTTACTGGACATATGTCAATAGGACGTTTATATTATCGTAAATCTTCCATGCCAAGATGATTCTATGCCATAAGTGGCTTTAAACATAAGCCAAACAAGGATATGTTTAATATTCGATTTGTCAGTATTGAATGTTTCTCATGAATCATACTATTTCCATCCTAATGTTCTTATAGATGGATGACAGTTAACATTTGAAAATGAAAATGAACTGTTAGTTTATGTAGATTGGTATGTGCATTGCTACAGATATTTCACAGGCTTATTGATGTAATGTAATTTGAAATTGTCTTTTCAGAATGATACATTGCTTCAGAGCAAGGTAGCAGGTGGCCCAAATCGTGGGGAATATAATGTGTACAGCACATTCCAGTCTCATGAGCCGGAGTTTGATTACCTCAAAAGTTTAGAAATTGAAGAGAAAATCAACAAAATCCGTTGGCTAAAGCGAACAAACAGGAATCATTTCCTTCTGTCTACCAATGGTAGGTTGGGCACTGTTGACTGAATCCTTATCATTGGCAGATCTCTGCAACTCCTTAAAACTGTAATTTACACAACTGATAAGGTTTCCAACAGTTGGGACCTGGCGGATGCAGTTGTAAACTGGAGGTACTTGACACTTGAGCAATGATCAATAAGTAATGTAACGTTCATTTAGCCCAATTTACCTTTTCTAGTGTACTATAGGAACTGACCTCGGGGACTCCACCCTTAAAACACTGCTTTTCAGTAGGTGTGTAGCGATACAGTATTGTATCGCGATATGAGGTTCACAATGCAATACCCAAATTTACAACTCCTGTCTCGCGATGCATTACATTGCAAGTTATTTTGCATTAAAACATGAATAACAAACTGTTCAACAACCAGTATTTCCTGGTTGGCTATAAATACAATAACAGCCTAACATTCGCAGTGCCTTCTAGCCTTTTTCCTCCACCTACCCGACTGTATGGAAGATACTTATGCATTCAGATATATAAGTCATCATCTGGTCCGTCCACATTTCGTTTCTGGAAAACTTGAAAAACATGAAAGATTTTTCATCTTAACTTCGTACATGTATTAACCCGGGGGGTGAAGTGGTGCCATGCATCAACCAAGTCAGTGAGCCTGACCACCCAATCCTGTTAGTCGCCTTTTACGACAAGGTGACAAGGCAACTAAAGGGATCGGGTGGTCAGGCTTGCTGACTTGGTTGATGCATGTCATCAATCCCAATTGCGTGGATCGATGCTCATGATATTAATCACTGGATTGTCTGGTCCAGACCTGATTATTTACAGACCGCCGTCATATGGCTGAAATATTGCTGAGTGCGGCGTTAAACAACAAACAAACTCAAGTGGTGCCTTTTGCTATTGTTGGGATTTGTAATCTTCTGATTCTTGTTATTCTCAAATAGTTGTTTGGTTTATGTCAAGTGAGTCAAGATGCGATTTCTCCTCTCTTTTTTGCGATTTTTTTCCATATTTATTAATGTGTGAATGCAGACAGATAACAGATCCACCTGCATAAAGAAAGAATGCCAGCTTTATGAAACATGAGTAATGTATCGGGATACATATTGTATTGTGACCCCAATCATATCGTTACCGCCACCTTTCCGATTGCCAAGCCCAAGTAGGCATCCATTTTGAGAAGTTGTATGATGTGTTTCAGATAAGACAATCAAGCTGTGGAAGGTTGCTGAACGTGACAAGCGACCAGAGGGCTACAACCTAAAAGATGAAAACGGGGTCCTTCGTGACCCTAACTCCATCACCTCACTCAGAGTGCCAGTGTTTGCTCCCATGGAGCTGATGGTGGAAGCTAGTCCCAAGCGAGTTTTTGCTAATGCTCACACATATCACATTAACTCCATATCGGTCAACAGTGACCAGGCCACCTATCTCTCTGCTGACGACCTGCGCATCAATTTGTGGAACTTGGAAATTACAGACCAAAGTTTCAGTATCCTTCTCTAAGAAACTAATACCCATTGTTTTCATTTGTTCTTCATATACCTTTGTCGCTTTGTGGAACAGGACCCTCGTTTTCATCGTAACATGAAGGCATGTATCATTGCTTATGATATCAACCACGGGAGACTGTTTTTAGGCACCAATATTTAGCAATAGGTGATAACAATAACCCTTGACATTTGTTTTCTGATCTTTAGTATCTGTTCATCACTTTTTGAAAAGCAGTGTTATCCCGTGGGGATTCCAGGTTAGAATTGGTTGCAGCAACTTGCACGTACTGGACCGGGTGGTTATACTCGGTGACTTGGTTGATAGCGTGTCATTGTACCCTGATGACATCTAGCGTTATATCAATTCAATCACTGTATTGCCTGGGCCAGAATCTTAATATTTACAGACTGCTGGAATATTGCTGAGTGCGGCGTTAATCAACAAAAACACTATTACGATGTTAAATGACAAGCAGTTTTTCTTTAACCAGTGTTAAGATATTGTTGACATCAAGCCCGCTAACATGGAAGAGTTGACGGAGGTGATTACAGCGTCGGAGTTCCACCCTCGGGAATGTAACATGTTTGTCTATAGTAGCAGCAAAGGAACAATTAGGTTATGTGACATGAGGGACAATGCCTTGTGTGATAAACATGCCAAACGTAAGTATGCTGATATTATATGTGAAATAACTTGATAGAAATACTTGTGCACTAGTATCATTTGTTGTACCATACAAGGTCCATCTTCTTTGCTTGATTATCATGCATCAAACTTTGCTTGAGTGATAAGTACCTGTGAGACACTTGTTTGTCCTGATAGTTGTTTTCTTGACAAAACTAGAACCACAGGGATATTAAGATGCAGGCTTCGTGCTTGAAGAATCAAATGCCATGTCTTACAAGCCCCGTTACCTGCAGATACGATTTCAACATATTCATATACGTAAAAAAACACTTTCTTACATAACATCAGTCTTGGATAACGCTGCTAACACCATATACACTGAACAAAGCTAGTGATCATGAATATTTGGGGGGTGGGGAAATTTCCGATCCGTAACTTCTTTTTTCAGTGTAGATAAATAAGAACTAACTTCATGTCCCTGAGTTGATTAGTCAAACACAAATTTGTAAATTGAGCCTGAGACTACAAAATTGTGCTAAGGACAAGTAAGCATCCAATGAAAGTCGTCGTGGACTAGTAGCATTTAAGGGCTATAATTGTGAACAAATTTTCATGCTTCCATTTTGCTACAAATTGGAACTGCCGATTTGCAACAATAACTAGCTTACAAATAGTGATAAAGATCCAAGTAGCCCATACACGAACATTGACCTTGCATGGGTTTGTTCATGCCTACATGTCTGCTATGTTTGGGCTGATTTCTGCAGATCCTGTGAGACACTTGTTTGTCCTGATAGTTGTTTTCTTGACAAAACTAGAACCACAGGTATATTAATATGCAGGCTTCGTGCTTGAAGAATCAAATGCCATGTCTTACAAGCCCCGTTACCTGCAGATACAAATTCAACATATTCAAATACTTAAGACAAAACATTTGTAAGTAATATCAGTCTTGGTAATGCTACTGACACCATATATACTGAACAAACAAAGTTAGTGATCATGAATGTTGAGGGGTGGGGAAATTTCCAGTCCATAACTTCTTTTTTTCAGTATAGATAAATAAGAACCAACTTCATGTCTCTGTGGCATCTCAGTTTTTTGCTCTAAAATACATGTTCATTTTGCATGATCTTGATCGTCAAACACAAATTTGAAAATTGAGCCTGAGGCTAAAAAAAGGGGCTAAGGACAAGTAAGAATCCAATGAAAGTCGTCGTGGACTAGTAGCATTTAAGGGCTATAATTGTGAACAAATTTTAATGCTTCCATTTTGCTACAAATTGGAACTGCCGATTTGCAACAATAACTAGCTTACAAATAGTAATGAAGATCCAAGTAGCCCATACACGAACATTGACCTCCTTGCATGGGTTTGTTCATGCCTACATGTCTGCTATGTTTTGGGCTAATTTCTGCAGATCCTGTGAGACACTTGTTTGTCCTGATAGTTGTTTTCTTGACAACTAGAAACACAGGGATATTAAGATGCAGGCTTCGTGCTTGAAGAATCAAATGCCATGTCTTACAAGCCCCGTTACCTGCAGATACGATTTCAACATATTCAAATACTTATGACGAAACTTTTTAAAGTAAATTACTAATATCAGTCTTGGTAATGCTACTGACACCATATATACTGAACAAACAAAGTTAGTGATCACGAATGTTGAGGGGTGAGGAAATTTCCGGTCCATAACTTCTTTTTTTCCAGTATAGATAAATAAGAACCAACTTCATGTCTCTGTGGCATCTCAGTTTTTTAGCTCTAAAATACATGTTTATCTGCCTGAGCTTGATCATCAAACACAAATTTGAAAATTGAGCCTGAGACTACAAAGTTGTGCTTATTGACAAGTAAGAATCCAATGAAAGTCGTGGACTAGTAGCATTTTAAGGGCTATAATTGTGAACAAATTTTCATGCTTACAAATAGTAATGAAGATCCAAGTAGCCATTGACCTTGCAGGGGTTTGTTCATGCCTACATGTCTGCTTTGTTTGGGCTGATTTCTGCAGATCCTGTGAGACACTTGTTTGTCCTGATAGTTGTTTTCTTGACAAAACTAGAACCACAGGTATATTAAGATGCAGGCTTCGTGCTTGAAGAATCAAATGCCATGTCTTACAAGCCCCGTTACCTGCAGATAAGGTTTTGTTTGTAATGAAGAGTCAACTATTGTGTCGTTTTAAATTCAACTAATCTTCTTCTTTTTTCAGTTTTTGAGGAGCCGGAAGACCCGACAAACAGGAGTTTCTTTTCGGAAATTATATCAAGTATATCTGATGTGAAGTTTAGTCACAATGGAAGATACTTGATTACTAGAGACTATTTGTCAGTTAAAGTGTGGGACTTGAACATGGAAAACAAGCCTGTTGAAACTTACCAGGTCCATGAATACTTGAGGAGCAAGTTGTGTTCGCTCTATGAAAATGACTGTATATTTGACAAGTTTGAGTGTTCCTGGAGTGGAGATGATAGGTAAGTACTGCAATTGTTTGTTGTCCATTAGATTAGATTGAGAGAAAAAACAAATACTTGTGGTTTGCTAACCCAGTATTAAACTTGTCTTTAATCATTGTTTTGGAAGTAGATTTTTGTGACATCTTCTGGTCATGAAATCTAATAAGAACACAACTATTTGATTTCTACCTGCATACCTATAACTGTTGATGGCTTGTTACCTGAAATACAACTATATGTTTCTGATACCTTTTTGGAAGTTATTTTAAGCATGTCCATATTTTCTAGTGATTCCCCATTATGGGGATTCCGGGATAGAATTTGTCCTCGGTAAACTGCTTGTTGTAAGAGTCGGGTTGATCATAATAGAAGCTGGGTTGTCTGGCCTAGATTTGATTTGCAGGCAGTGGTTGTATGGCTGGAATATTGCTGATTACGTAAATCAAGATTCAGTTAGATTGATTCTTATGTTTTATGTTTTCATTTGCTAATAGTATTTCCTCTAAATATTTTATTGGTAATCCTGATGTATTCCAGCATGTTATAAGAATGAACACTAAATGTCTGTTTTTCTTTCAGGCACATTATGACAGGTTCATACAACAATTTCTTCCGCATGTTCGATCGTGACCAGAAGAGGGACTGTACCCTTGAAGCTTGCCGGGAGAACATGAAGCCAAAAACAGTCCTGAAACCCCGCAAGGTTTGCACTGGAGGCAAACGCAAGAAGGATGAGATTAGTGTAGACTGTCTGGACTTCAACAAAAAGATTTTGCACACTGCATGGCATCCTCAGGAGAACATTATTGCCATCGCAGCTACCAACAATTTGTATATATTTCAAAGCAAAGACTAGCACAGACGTGAACCTAGATGTATTGTTCTAATTGGTGCAAACAACTCCTGCAGACAGAACACATGTTCGGTCCCGGGTTTTTGTGCAGGCGTAACTGATGTTCGGAAGTTCAACATGACTTCCTCGGAAAGCGAATGTAAATATGAGAAGGAATTCATGCTCCATTCCTTGAAAGGAATAAGGATATTGTTTTTCTAAGTGATATCCAACGGAACAAAATGAAGTCGGGATGGCTTCAATGAATCAAGGATACAGTTCAGTGGTTCTTTCTGACCAAAAGACCTATCTTCACACATGCTCTCCAAGTCTCGAGCATAATTTATCGGCAGTGAGACTGATTCAAGCAGCACTCTCCATAAGCATAAGTTCTCAGAAACCGTTCCACCCCGAGTGTTCTCTTACCTTCTCGGCATAAACTGACTTTATCTGCGCTGGTGTTTCTACAATTTTGAGTTGGTTTTCACTGGCACCTGATAACATGGAGTGTCTTAACACATTAGTGCTGCAATGTTTAATCTACTACTGTCACACTATTTTTGAAGTGCTATGTTAGTTACAAGTTCATCATCCACATAATCATTACATTACCTATCATGTGCCAATAACATTTTCCATTATCATTGGAGAAAGAAGGCTACTGTAAAGTACTTGACATTTTGAGCCTTGAAAATTGTTCTGTATACAGTGAAAAATTCCCCCCAAAGCAATTGACATGGCTTAACAAAAAATTGTTGGGAAGAATTTGACTATCACAAGAACTTTATGGTAGCTTTTACTTACAATAAATTGTGAAATGTGTATTTCACTGTCCTTTAGCCAGAAGATTTGCAATACCAAGACTGATTAACAAACTGTTAGTGGTAGACAAAATAGGCTATTAATAATATGAATGAGACACGGGTATAACTGGCTTTAAGCATTTAAATTCTACAATGAATAACTTGAATTAACAATACTAGCAGGGACTAGTTGGGCTAAACAAAAGTGTGTGTGTGTGTGTGTGCGTTTGTGCTTGAGGTTTTCAGGGAAGCAGATGGACAGCTTTACATTCTTTATTAGAAAATGTATCCGTAGAATCATTTGGATGCCCTTTAATATCCTACAAGCACTAGTCAAACCTATTTTCAGGGAAATAAGAATGACATAATGCATTGGTTTTATATGCCTAGAATGGTTCTGATTAGTTTGAATTAAGGCTGTTGTTTTTCAGAGGTGTCATGGTAGTAAAGTGCCCTTTCTTGAATATGTCCATTAAGGGATGTATGTTATGTGCTGAATATAAGTTGTACTTTTCCTATGTTGCTTGTATGTAACATCCGTAGTAGAGGTATGCTTCCACTTTCAAGAGGAACAGCTTATTGTCATGTTTCTGTATATTTGAAGCTATGACTTCCTAGGTAAAAAAAAAGAATAGGCAATCACTACCCTCTCCTGTAACTAGTTTAAAACAAGGTGCTAAGTATGTATCCAAAATTAACTTCAGTTGCAATTAAGCCTTATGTATTATTGGTTGTTGAAAACTTAACATTCTCATCCTTTAGCTGCTATTTCAACAATGCATAACTTGACTGAGCCAATATTTTGAAAGCTACTTTATGAGTAATATGGCGTCAAGCTGTTTCCCTCCTCACGTTTTTGAATAATGTTTGAAACCATTTCAATTCTTCAGTTCCTCATTACTTTAATATTATTTGATATATTCTTACAGGTAAGTAAGGTTCTTTTGTGCTCAGATTTCAGGATAGAATCTTTGAATTGTTTTTGCTCAAGTCTTTGCCAAACTATACAAAAGAAGTGTTTGCGTATGGGATTAGGTAGTGCTCAGTCTATTTGTTCATCACAGACTTCCTTGTTACCCTGTTGCTTTGTGTAAGACCTCAGTATTAGTAATGTACTCAGTTGTGTAATTGAGAAGATCGGTTTGTACACTTGTGCAATATGTTTTGTTATTGACATAAAATGTCATGGCTTGTCTGGACATTTCCCTGAATCCCCCATGATGGTTAAGGCGACTGGTATGGCAGACCATCCCTCAAGGAAATGTCGAGAAAGTTGGCTGTAGTTTACAGACCTGGGACACACATGCCTGTTGTAGTGCTGTATCATCACTCGCCAAAATACTTTGGTACTTTGACTTGGGGAAATACGAGACCCGTAATAAGGCCACAGCATATTAAGTTTGTATTATTCATTTGCTTGTTTGAAAGCGAGTGATATAAAGCATCAAATAAGTTTAGTTTCATTTCCTTGAAATCAACATTCCTGGGCCATCTTGCAGGATATTCAAAGGTATAAATGAGGCTTTCATATGAAATAGGACAGTTTTAGTTCAGTGTTAGTATGAACCTGCGCTTTTGGGCGTAGTCGGAAGGCATGTTCACGGCAACCCAGTAAATAAGCACATGTGGTTTTAATTACATTAAAGTTTATTAAATCAAACTTAAGATAAGTTTAGAAGTAAAACCTGGAGTTTGCTTTTGTTAAAGGAGCTCTCAAGTGACAAATGTTGGAGATAATCTTCCTGTCCTGTGTGCAGTCCAATTGTATTAATTCGGAACAACAAATTGCTTGCAGGAGTTTAAATGATGTGAACAAGATTAAGGCACTAGAAATGTACTCATGAAAGGGCTCCTTCAACAATGTTTAGAACTGTTGGGTTCCATACTGATTGATATTTTTGGATTGTCAATTTTATTACAGGTAGACAACAGTGTACTCGTTAATGAATTTTACAAAATTGATGGAGGATGCCAATGAACCGGTGATGTTGATTTAAGATTAATCAAAATATAGCCAACTGTAACCTCAATCCATGGCTGAATGTGCAGTGTGTCCCAGAAGAAACTCACAGATCATTCCATTATGAGTTTGTACTCTTGTATGTTTGTGAACATATATAACGTGTTATGACTTTGTGTTGGCAATGAACTTTCATTGTAATATCTATCAGGTACTCTCATTTGTATGCATATCAGAAAGCTTGGATTTGCGCTGTAGCACTCTGTTGCACTGTAACTCTGCAGTAACGTCTTCAGTGTCGTTTATCAAGGTTGAGTTTGTTTCTCATTGTCCCGGTTTAATCACGTACAAAATGTAATTAGCCTGCTTGTGCCATGATAATTATATTCTTACTAATTTGTTACAATCAAGAAATCTAGTCCCGTGTGAAACCTGTTGATTCATGTTAACAAATCTAACAATTGTGACCTGGCCAGAAATATTTTACATTAATATCAATCTTTCGTTTCCTGTTTCCGCTTAGGATCTAATTCTATCAATGTTTGAAAAATTACCAATGTAACTTTTTTGTTCCTGCTACTAATGACTATCCAAGCATGATGTAATTTAAACGCTTGACTTTAATCCATGTTTCTTCTTTGAAAATTTGGAAACATGTCAAGTAATATTTGAGTTGCATGACATCAAATGACATTTTTGCATTCCAAAGCAAACTGTATGCATAATGCCGAGGTTTAACAAAGCTGTGTACCTGAATATTTGTTAAAATAATTTCTTTGTTATCATATATCAAGTGATTCGATTGAAATGTCGTGGACATTTAAGTTATCAGCACAGAGGTCATCTTGACTTGTGTTGCTAAAAACCCAGTTTGACATGGCAACCACTGTTCTCTCAAGTCTATTCATTACCTTAATTTTCTAGCACTTTTTGTACAATTTTTGTTTGAGTTGCAATTATTTAATGCACAAATATCAAATTGCAAGTTCCATGTAAATCTGTAGGAATGAACCAGTTGAAACAGAAATATGTACTTAATGAAAATTAAGCCTAGGTTATTTTGACCCAAACATCAGCAATGCAGATTTGGTTTTCAGTTTCCCTCCCTTGTCGCCTGCCCTCTGGTCTGTCCATTTCCTTCCAAAATAAAGCAGTATTGCTACACTGTATATAGAGATGAACAAAGCTATTGTGATAAGAAGTGAATCAAAGGACCAATGCGAAGACTTGAAGAGAATGGTACCCAGTCAGGAAGCTAGTTGAGATTAAACCTGCACCAGCACGAGGCTGCAAGTATTGCGCTAGAGGCGAGTGACTCAAAAAGTGGCCAGACAGACCGAGTGTTGTTACGCGTGGATATGTCGTCCTGTATGACATGTGCATCCATCCCATTGTTATCATTGCCATGCAGGTAGTCAGTCTCATCATTGTAGACACAAGTCTGTGTCGTCAAAAATCTGCTACAGCAATAAAAAGAAAAAAAATATTTGGTTTTGTGTTGTGTACAACTCTGTGCAGTTATATTTTTGCATTATGGATTGGCAGTAAGTCTAAACATGTGGTTTTGCTCCACAGAATGTCCGAGATTTCAGTCTAGATTATGTATCTCAGGTTTTCTCCCACAATACATGTCAAGCAGACAGTGCTATAACTGAAATATGGTTGAAAGCTGTTGAAACTTGCATGTCCTATACCTGGAATCTGCAACAAATCTTAAACAAAATGCTGAAGATTGTTTGAAATGTTAATTCTTTCTGAATTTTGATCAGTAATTTATTTTTAAAACCCAGGCCCAACAAAGTTGGCGGGGGATATAGAAACGGAGTCCGTCACGTTTCCGGAGCATAACTCAGAAACCATTCAATATTTTTTCATGAAACTTTGCAGGTCTGTCAAGTACATGCTGAAATGGTGCCTTTTGCTATTTAGAAATTTATTTTTTTTACGTTTCGATAACAAGTTCCACCTCTGTTAAGAAAATAATAATGTCATAAATTCTGCAACGGGCGGGGGATATAGCCACGTTAGTGGCAAACTCTTGTTAATATTAAATATGAAGTTTAATGATTGGATTTGTTGATGTTCCAGCCATATCCTAGAAACTATATTTGTCAACTTTAAAACAATGTTTACAGTAGGATCAAATTTTATTTACACAACATAAAATAGTCTGATTAAGAAACATGTGATAGTTCAGTTCGACTTCTAATGCATTGCTGAAAAACAGCAAAGATAACATGGACTTACAAGTAATACAACTGTCAACAGTATGGGAGCTGCCATTGCTTTGCAGAACAAACCAAGGTCCCATAACCATACAAAAGGGTTCATTCCACTTGTGTGAAGTTCAAGATTTTTACATGTGAGGGAGTGAGTATGGCTTTACGCCGCTTCTAACAATATTCACAGCAGCGAACAATGGAGCATGGGCTTCACACATTGTACCCATGTGGGGAATTGAACCTGGGTCTTCGCATGAAGAGCCAACGTTTTAACCACTAGGCTACCCCACCACACAGATGTACATATGAATGCCATGGTTGATGAAGTTCAGAACGGTCAAGATGAACCCCAGTGAATTCTAATCTTACAGCTGTCAAATTGGCTCTACCACTCTTTGATAGTCACAAGGATTGGAACAGTTTCTCCGTTTTATCAGAAGGCACGACATGAAGCCATAAGCTTACAACATTCACAGTGCCATCCAGTAATCATGTGATCCAGGCTGAACCTGTGCTTTTTGCCCCTCTCGCTTCAGAGGCTTATCAACCAGAGTCCTGGCGCTAGACAAAGTCTCGGCTTGCAAAGATGTCCTGTTCTCAGAAGTAGAGGAGCTGTTTCACCCTTCACATGATCCACTCTACCAGTCGGCACTGTTGTGAGCCAAGTAATCTCTCCGACCGATGCCCTGGGCTTGTTTTGTCTGCATTGCCTCCAACTTGGGACAGTCCGCGATACGATGACCCAAACCTCCACAATAAGAGCATCCGATCTCACCTGGAAAAAGACAGATTAATTCATGATAGAAACTATCCACAGTAAACACTTGGTAAACTATGTTCATAACGAACTGACAAATAACAAACTTTTATTGGTCCCTGCCATTTGTTGTATACTTAAGTCAAAATGCTTATAAAATTATTGGTCCGTTATGACCAAAAAAGGATCACTGTTTCGAGAACTGTTTTCATATTCCTGTACTATCATAAGGCCTCTGTCATGGAGGACTACACACCAATTCAGTCCGTACATAACCACAAAAATGAATTAAAATGAACAGTTTGAGCAAGCAACACTTAACACATCTGTGGTTCGCGTCAAAGTACCTTGGGACCAGGTGTTTGTGTAAAGCTTGAGGTAAATGCAGCTCTAGTGGAACTAAGAGGGTGCATGCAATATTTCAGTTATATGTTTGTAGCCAGTGAATGATCAACTCTGACCAGTGATTGATATTGTGAGCAATGACGTGCCAATAAACAAGTGAGGACTCGGGCAACCCAATCCATTAAGTTGCCTCTTTTGACCAGCATAGGTTGATGGAGAGCAATACTTCTGAACTAGGCTGACCTGGCCGATGCATGTAATCGTATCCAAATTGCGTGGATAGATGCTCATGATGTCAGTCACTGGATTGTTCCAGATATTTACAGACTGACGTCATATGAATGGTTGGTTGGTTTGTTGTTTTACGTCGCACTCAGCAATATTCCAGCTATATGACGGCGGTCTGTAAATAATCGAGTCTGGACCAGACAATCCAGTGATCGAAATCATGAGCATCGATCCACGCAATTGGGATCGATGACATGCTTCAACCAAGTCAGCGAGCCTGACCACCAGATCCCGTTAGTCGCCTTTTACAACAAGCATAGTCACCCTTTATGGCAAGCATGGGTTGCTAAAGACCTATTCTTCCCCGGATCTTCACGGGTCTTATATGGATGGGATATTGCTGAGTGCGATGTTAAACAACAAACAAATCTAACCCAGAATCTCCATGGGGTGAGAGAGTATATATGTAGGAACAGAATATATTTGTACTACACGGCCCAAAAGAAAATCGGCCACTGAGAAGAGCTGTTTCATAGGGCAAGGGTAGTGCTACAACTATCATAACTCCTGAACCTTAACACAGACTTACAACAGTTTTAGTCATATGAACGCTTTGTGAAACTGTCCCCCAACCCCCCAGCCTTAATCTGTGCTTTAATCAAAGCTAAAGTTCATTATATAGATGGCCAGTAGCATTGAAAATTGTATGTACATTAAATCTAGACAGTATTCTCTGTATTTCCTCCTGATGCCTCACTTTAGAAAGCCAGGTCCAGCTTGAATCACTCATTTTTGCAAAGTGATAAAATATCCCCCAAATCCCATTCCTACATAATACGATACAGTGAGTGAGTTGGGTTTAACGCCGCTTTTATCAGTATTCTAGTTATATATCGCGGCGTGTCAGCTTCATGTGGGAGGAAAGCCCCAAGTGATGCAGGTCTCAGACGTTAACCACTTCAGTGAAACCCACGAGCAGGTTATAGTGCTGACTAACCGAGAAACATAATCAGGGCGAACCGGGATTCGAACCCACAATCATAGGTTTCTGGCGTGCTCAAGGGACGCAACTTTGCACAGCGAATCTCGCCTTAGACGACTGGGCCACCCGTGCCCCCTAACACGGTACAGAGGATGTTAATGATTGTGTTGCCCTGGGTTGAATACTGACCACCAATGTCCAGGTACTTCTCACTCTCGGAGGACAGTGTGGCCAGGAATGCAGGGACCCTCTGTTTCGCTTCAATCAGGAGATGCTTCAAGTCCAGCAGCACAGACTCATCTGTTAACACGGAACCCAAAGTGTTACAAGTACAAAAATTGGGTAAATTCTACATACCGCATTCGACGTAATAAGCGCCCCGCTCTAATAAGCGCCCATGGCGATATTTGCTGATATTGGCAGTGAACAAGCCCAATTAGCATCCCTTCCGATTGATCAATGTACACAAGACTTATTTATTCAGTATAATATGCACACGTGTGTTATATGCACCCTTATTTATGGGCAATTAAATTCTGGAAAAATATATCTGTCGTACATAAACATTTCAGGCTGTCAGCATAAACCACGAAATTTATCTTTTAACTATGTTTTTTTCTCACCAAAATCATATTCTAATAAGAGCCCTCAATTTCTAATTTTGAGAGCGCCCTGGGCGCTTATTACCTCGAATACGGTAATTCTCACAGTGAAGGAATGTTTGTCATCCTAGAAATAGAAGATGCTGTAATCAGGTCCTTGACTGTTAATTTCAGGATGTCCAACAAGGCAAGAAAGAAATCCTGTTTCTCATGGCAACCAACATCTTCCCAAGGCAAGAGAGTTAACTGACTATAAAAGTCAAGTTTCCACCCTTGCCGAACTAGGCTGGTATTATGTAGTTATATTTGGGCTGGACTAACGAGTCTATGCATAGTCCAATCAAAATTGCGCAACAAAATCGAAATCCGGTTCGTAAAGTGTCATGCTGATTTCAGTCGATTGCAGGATTTGCAAAGCATGTGCACCGCAAACTCGTTGTCAACAGATATTTTCTAAATCTCTTCATGTTTTTAACCACGGTGCTCACATGATTTGATGCACTTTCGTGATGTAAGACTCGTTTTATCAATATAGATCTTGATTATTGATCAGATCATATTGACTGGGCGTGGCCATTTTGTTTGAAGCCAATGCAAGTGACACAAGAGGTGGAATCTCATTGGTCCATAGGAGAGGCATAGAAGGGACATAACTAGCAATAGCCACTGGTGGCACTCTGATGGAGCCCAGGAATTCCAGCCTAGTTTGGCAAGGGTAAAAACTGGACTTTTAAAGTCAGTTAACTCCCTTGCATCAGGAAGATGGGCAACCAGCTGAGGATTCTGTGGTCACAATGAGTACATAGTGTGGACAGTTGGGTGGGAGACTGCCCAAAACAACCACACTTACTTGTGAGTGAGTGAGTATGGTTTTACGCCACTTTTAGCATCATTCCAGCAATATCATGGTGGGGACACCAGAAAATGGGCTTCACACATTGTATCCATGTGGAGAATCGAACCCGGGTCTTCGGCGTGACAGGCCAACGCTTCAACCACTAGTCTACCCGACCTCCCCCTCACTTACTTGTGGCCATGCAACCAGACAGCATTAATTGTGACTCACACTATCAACCACTAGTTTGTCAAGTCCACACCTGAATATTCTGATAACTGTGACAAAGCCACAATATTTCTGACTAATTTCGACATTCAGTCACTTGTTTTTTAGCCTTTTTTCTGTTGAGAAAGAAGCATTGCCATGATTTGGTTTCAATAAATAATTGTGTGTTCACGCTGAAACAGTAATGTCGGCACCAACAACTATGGCCTCACCCACTGTCTTGTTGATGAAAGTTGTTGCAATGCCTGTCTTGCCACAACGGCCTGTACGTCCAATTCTGTGAACTGAAACACAATCAAGAAGAGTTAGTCTGATGCAAGAAATCAACAAAGAAAGTGGAATTATTCAATCTCATTAAAGTCAGATAGTTACGATATCTTCATCAGTCGCAGATGTAACGTGTACGCGAGACGGGTGCGGTTCGCAGTACTCAGTGAAGCGCTTGATACTAATTAATTCAATCTCCGTGTTCATGGTAGCTTGTGTCAGTTGAACTTTCTGATCAGCTAATTCAGCATCAAGGCTTCTAAAATCTCAACAAAGCATTCCGACAAGTATATCTGATTTCTGTATCTCAAAACCTTTTCGAAATGTTCACAATGAAGGCTGCACTGTTATTTTGTGATAGATACGTCATATAAACCAACATCTGATGTAGCTCAAGAAGCCATGCATTTTTAATTTAGATTGGGTGGTCAAAGATCGTTCAGCGTTGACCTGACTTATTTTAAGTGTCCTTAGAGTATTCTATCCGAGTAAAATACATGTATGTAATTTTAATGAGATTGGGAATTGTTTCACTTATTCTTCTCTCTGGAGGGATTCTGGGAAAAACAGATCCCAAGTACCCTATGCAGAACCCAATAGCTGCCAAAACGAATCATCAGTGATTGTTGTTACATTGCTAGTGTCGTTGTTCATGCTGTCAACCGCTAGTTTAAGTAGATTTGATTATCTACACTGTATTTATATAGCTGGAAAATGGGTGGAGTATCACCACTCACAGCCAAATTATCTTTTTTATGGGTTATCAAAGGGAGACAACCGGGAACACCCTAGACGGGTGATCCAATCAAACTAGGTTGTCGCACAGGTCTGCAAATTTCATCACAATTTACGCCCAAACAACCAGCCAAGTGATCTCTCACAAGACAATACCTTGTCAGAAAACATTTAGTATTTTGATGCAAAAGTTTTTGTCTGTATCTAAAAGGGTTAGTTGTCTGAGTAGTGACTCGTCTTTATGTCCAGTATTTAGATTAAGCATGAAAATCATGTTGAAGGAGGGTCCTTAGATTCAAAAACCACAGGACCCCAGGACCCGCCCTAAGTTTGAACACCTATGACTAGATAATATCCAAATGCACTGCACACTTAACTGTCATCTGGTTCAAGCTGAATCACCATAGAGATCGCCATACCCTCTCGTATCCACAGCCCAAACCTTAGAGGCAGTCTTTGGGGAGGGCTTCATAGGGTTAACCCCTACTCCTCCCCCTCTCCCCTCCCAATCTCATTAAAATCAGATCTTAGTTCTCACTACTGCTAAACAAAGATCTGAGGACATCCCATTAGGGGTCACGTCAGAACGACCTTTCATCCGACCAATCAGAGCGTTGGTTACCAGATCATGAAATTGACAGTCGGAATGTGATTTCTAATCATGCAACCTTGAAAACTTTAACACGGAGTATGCCTTCTGATTGGTTAATGTCGACTTCTTGTCAGTCCTTCCATTGGTCGGTCAAAATTTGCGCAAGATCGGTCTGACGTGACCCATAATGGGATGTCCTCAGATCTTTGTTTAGCGGTATATTTTAATGAGATTGCTCCCCTCCACACATACATACCTTTGAAAATATATCGTACACCCCAATGAACCCCCTCAAATTATTTCTTGTTATCAAAATTCTCATGTACAATGTCAAGTTTCAATGGATGAAACTGATAATGTGACAACTTTCTCGGAATTATCAGAAGTCCTCAGACAAGGTTTCTCGTTTTTTGCTGAAACTTAATCTCACCATAGTTCTCAATGTCCTCCGGCATGTCGTAGTTAATGACGTGTTGAATGTCAGGGAAGTCCAGACCCTTTGATGCCACGTCTGTAGCCACCAGCACATCCTTCTCCCCCTTCCGGAACTGTTCCACTGAACGACTTCTCTCTTCCTGATCTGGGGAAAAGCAAGTCAATGAGACCTGTGACATGAGGCAGTGGGGGTCTATTCTGTGACCTGGGGTACTGGGGATCTATTCTGCCCCATGACATGGGTACTGGGGATCTATTCTGTGACATGGGGTAGTGGGGATCTATTCTGCCCCGTGACATGGGTACTGGGGATCTATTCTGTGACATGGGGTAGTGGGGATCTATTCTGTGACATGGGGTACTGGGGATCTATTCTGTGACATGGGGTAGTGGGGATCTATTCTGTGACCTGGGGTACTGGGGGTCTATTCTGTGACATGGGGTACTGGGGGTCTATTCTGTGACATGGGGTACTGGGGATCTATTCTGTGACATGGGGTACTGGGGATCTATTCTGTGACATGGGGTACTCGTGATCTATTCTGTGACATGGGGTACTGGGGATCTATTCAGTGACATGGGGTACTGGGGGTCTATTCTGTGACATGCGGTAGTGGGGGTCTATTCTGTGACATGGGGTACTGGGGGTCTATTCTGTGACATGGGGTACTGGGGATCTATTCTGTGACATGGGTACTGGGGATCTATTCTGACCCGTGACATGGGTACTGGGGGTCTATTCTGACCCGTGACATGGGTACTGGGGGTCTATTCTGAAACCGTGACATGGGTACTGGGGGTCTATTCTGACCCGTGACATTGGTACTGGGGGTCTATTCTGACCCGTGACATGGGTACTGGGGGTCTATTCTGACCCGTGACATGGGTACTGGGGGTCTATTCTGTGACATGGGTACTGGGGGTCTATTCTGACCCGTGACATTGGTACTGGGGGTCTATTCTGACCCGTGACATGGGGTACTGGGGGTCTATTCTGTGACATGGGGTACTGGGGATCTATTCTGTGACATGGGTACTGGGGGTCTATTCTGACCCGTGACATTGGTACTGGGGGTCTATTCTGACCCGTGACATGGGTACTGGGGGTCTATTCTGACCCGTGACATGGGTACTGGGGGTCTATTCTGTGACATGGGTACTGGGGGTCTATTCTGACCCGTGACATTGGTACTGGGGGTCTATTCTGACCCGTGACATTGGTACTGGGGGTCTATTCTGACCCGTGACATGGGTACTGGGGGTCTATTCTGTGACATGGGTACTGGGGATCTATTCTGTGACATGGGTACTGGGGGTCTATTCTGACCCGTGACATTGGTACTGGGGGTCTATTCTGACCCGTGACATGGGTACTGGGGGTCTATTCTGACCCGTGACATGGGTACTGGGGGTCTATTCTGTGACATGGGTACTGGGGGTCTATTCTGTGACATGGGTACTGGGGGTCTATTCTGACCCGTGACATTGGTACTGGGGGTCTATTCTGACCCGTGACATGGGTACTGGGGGTCTATTCTGACCCGTGACATGGGTACTGGGGGTCTATTCTGTGACATGGGTACTGGGGGTCTATTCTGACCCGTGACATTGGTACTGGGGGTCTATTCTGACCCGTGACATGGGTACTGGGGGTCTATTCTGTGACATGGGTACTGGGGGTCTATTCTGACCCGTGACATGGGTACTGGGGGTCTATTCTGTGACATGGGTACTGGGGGTCTATTCTGACCCGTGACATGGGTACTGGGGGTCTATTCTGACCCGTGACATGGGTACTGGGGGTCTATTCTGTGACATGGGTACTGGGGGTCTATTCTGACCCGTGACATGGGTACTGGGGGTCTATTCTGACCCGTGACATGGGTACTGGGGGTCTATTCTGTGACATGGGTACTGGGGGTCTATTCTGACCCGTGACATGGGTACTGGGGGTCTATTCTGTGACATGGGTACTGGGGGTCTATTCTGACCCGTGACATGGGTACTGGGGGTCTATTCTGACCCGTGACATGGGTACTGGGGGTCTATTCTGTGACATGGGTACTGGGGGTCTATTCTGACCCGTGACATGGGTACTGGGGGTCTATTCTGACCCGTGACATTGGTACTGGGGGTCTATTCTGACCCGTGACATTGGTACTGGGGGTCTATTCTGACCCGTGACATGGGTACTGGGGGTCTATTCTGACCCGTGACATTGGTACTGGGGGTCTATTCTGACCCGTGACATTGGTACTGGGGGTCTATTCTGACCCGTGACATGGGTACTGGGGGTCTATTCTGACCCGTGACATGGGTACTGGGGGTCTATTCTGACCCGTGACATGGGTACTGGGGGTCTATTCTGACCCGTGACATGGGTACTGGGGGTCTATTCTGACCCGTGACATGGGTACTGGGGGTCTATTCTGTGACATGGCTACTGGGGGTCTATTCTGACCCGTGACATTGGTACTGGGGGTCTATTCTGACCCGTGACATGGGTACTGGGGGTCTATTCTGACCCGTGACATGGGTACTGGGGGTCTATTCTGACCCGTGACATGGGTACTGGGGGTCTATTCTGTGACATGGGTACTGGGGATCTATTCTGACCCGTGACATGGGTACTGGGGGTCTATTCTGACCCGTGACATGGGGTACTGGGGATCTATTCTGCCCCTTGACATGGGGTACTGGGGATCTATTCTGCCCCATGACAAGGGGTACTGGGGATCTATTCTGCCCCATGACATGGGGTACTGGGGATCTATTCTGCCCCATGACATGGGGTACTGGGGATCTTGTCTCCCCTGGTACACTCACCCTTCCCCCCGTGTATAGCGACAGCCTCCACACCCTTTAGCAGCAGGTATTCGTGGATAGCATCAACGTCCTGTTTCTTCTCCGCGAATATCAGAACCTGGAAACACACCAGTAATGTAAAATGTGTTGTTTTATTGTGTGTGTGAGTATATCTCTAGGACTCAGATCAATAGCTGGAATCTAATCCATATCGGATTCTCAGATCCGTGGCAGATTCTCATTGTAATATACCATCATGTTTGCAATGATGTCTTATCCGTGAATGGACAATCAGTTTCATTGTTGTATGACGTCCAGACAAAACGATCAGTGGATAACGATGGAACCAAATACCATAGAAAGTGAAGCCACTGCATATTGAAAAAATTGCAATTTCTTTTTTAGTTAAATCACCAAAAGATAATAATGAGGGGTAAACAAATAGTTTTTTCAAAGGTTTTAGAAAATGATGGTTACTGAGTTCTATTGCGATTCATCCGATAGAGGGTCTGTAGTTTTCAAGTCATAATATCAAACATTGTGAGATGTGTATTTTTAAACTTAAGAAGAAGATTTAATCTTAGTTGTAAAGAGAATAGGTTATTGTGAACTGTATTGTGCTGGTGCACTTAGAAACTACTATGCCAAATTCCTACTTCACACAGTGAAATATCGTACATGCTGAAACAAATACCCCCTCACATTCTGTGTTTCCCTAATTATACATGGTCACTTAGTGTCAATAGTCTGGTTAGTCTTAGTTCATTAACCTGCCACATCTCATCAAGTGGTTGACACAACACCGAGTAGTCCATACATAGCCACCAGTCTATTCTGTTAGATAAACACGCTACTCCAACCGACCGCCTCCGTGGTCTAATGGTAAGCGTCCACCCGGAGAGCGGAAGGTCCGGGGTTCGATCCCCGACCGCGTCATACCAAAAGACGTTAAAAGATGGTACTTGTTACCCTGTCTGGCGCTCGGCATTAAGTGGCTAAAAGGACTGGTCAGCTCGGAGTCAGTATACTGTGTCTGAGTGGGGTATTCATGTTAAACTGCGGCATGGTATCTCAGTGAGCTAGCACTATAAATCGGCATCAGTCCGGACTAGTACAAGCAGCCACACATACATACACATGCATGCACGTCGCTATATAAGTGCAATAATCTTGGATGTGAGGTTAAACCCCTCACATCCAAAAGGCTATTGTTAGCCATTCGCAGTAATTTCATGCAGCAAAACCCTCCAGGTTTACAGTATTCTTGATACGGCTGATGGAATTTAAGACACTGTTAACCAAATAACTGAAGCAAATGAAGAAACACTGAGATCATTTCGTGGCATGGGACTCTGGAGTCTTACCGGTGGGGAGGTCTTTTGCAGACATTCCAACAAGTACACCATCTTGGCTTCCTGTTTGACGTACTCGGCTTCCTGTATGACGTCCATGCTGGCGGCGCCAGCTCGGCCCACGTTGACGGTCACAGGCTTGACCAGGGCACTGCGGGCAAAGTTCTGGATCTTCTTGGGCATAGTAGCTGAGAATAGCAGGGTTTGCCTCTGACCCTAAACAGACCCAAAACATGAGTGAGTGAGTGAGGTCATAGACATGCTTGGCGATACACAAATGACAGGAGGATCCAAAGTTTCATATGGTAGTATGGAGTGGGGTGTTGCAAGGTTCGATATTCATATTTCAGTAACAGTAGGTATTCCGAAACCACCCATTAATTAACATGGCAGATTGAGTACTCATTTCAACATTCACTTACTTTAAAGTAGGAGAAGATTGTTCTCACATCTTCCTCGAAGCCCATGTCAATCATTCTGTCCGCCTCGTCCATGCTGAGATATCGACACACGTCCAGATTAATTAGCTTCTTGTCCAGCATGTCCATCAGTCGACCGGGCGTGGCCACCATGATGTGCACACCCCTAGGGAAGATACAGGGATGGAATAAACTCAGTATCATCAACACTGTATACAGAGAAACATTGTTAATCCAGACACCTTTAATCTAGAAACCACCATGATGTGCACACCCCTAGGGAAGATACGAGGGTGGAATAAACTCGGTATCATCAACACTGTATACAGTGAAACATTGTTAATCCAGACACCTTTAATCTAGAAACCACCATGATTGCCACACCCCTAGGGAAGATACGGGGGAGGAATAAACTCAGTATCATCAACACTGTATACAGTGAAACATTGTTAATCCAGACACCTTTAATCTAGAAACCACCATGATGTGCACACCCCTAGGGAAGATACGGGGGAGGAATAAACTCAGTATCATCAACACTGTATACAGTGAAACATCGTTAATCTAGACACCTTTTATCTAGAGACCACCATGATGTGCACAACCCTAGGGAAGATACGGGGGAGGAATAAATTCAGTATCATCAACACTGTATACAATGAAACATGGTTAATCCAGACACCTTTAATGGTTTACCGTTTACCATTATATTGGTTTACGGACAGTTTTGGTCAGTAGGTTGGGTAAATGTTTAAGATTTTGTCAGATTTGTGTAACACTAGCCCAAGCAGTTATCTGGCCAGGTTATTGTTGAAAACACACAAAAAATTACATTTGGAAAATGGACACTGAAATAATCAAGTCTGGACCAGACAATCCCGTGATTGATATCATGAGCATCGATCCACGCAATTGGGATACGATGACATATATCAACCTAGTCAGCGAACCTGACCACCCAATCCCGTGGTCACCTCTTACGTATAAGCATAGTCGCCTTTGATAAGCAGAGCTACAGACAAGCATCGTATGTGCGTAAAATACCCCCTCAAAATATTCAAAACCCAATTACTTTCAATTAACTTGCGTACAGAAACATGCATTAAATGAAAAACTCAAATGTGCAAAACCAGCATGCGCATCTTAAACATTATTTAACTTTTTGTAAATCTTAAAATGTTAAATCATTTTGGGAAAAACCCAATAGAGTGATGAATAGATGAGAGAAAAAATTTTGGTCACCCAATGAAAAATGTAATCAAACAATTAAAATAGAAACCTTCGAGTAAGACTCAACTGCTCAAAAAGTTATCTTGAGCTCTGGATAAAACGTGAATCAAACATTGATAGGTGTATCATGTATCATACGATCCGATGTAGACCTGTGACACATCGACACATTGGTGGATCATGACATCCCTACTCTACTAGGCCATGCTGTGTACTGTGCCCACCTCCTGATCACCTCCAGCTGATCCTTGACGGACATGCCGCCGATACAGAGTGCCGCCCTCAGCGCGGGGAAGCCGTCCGCCTCCAGGCACTTGCAGTAGAACAGGATGATGTCGTGGGTTTGTTTGGCCAACTCTCTCTAAAGGACAGACATATCATTGGTATTACATGGGAAATGAACACAGTAGTATATATATATGAAGTATTTATATATCAAGTTGAAGAAAGGTTTGTCAAATTTTGTATTCAAACGGTACTGAATTTCTAGTTTAAGTGATTAACATGGCTAAGAGGAGACAATTCTGTGCAAGGATAACAAATCACATCCCCTTTGACTGTACATCTCTTATTTGTATTTAATACCGGTAGTTGTCAGTAGTAACCCAATCACTCCTATCTGTTGCAATTTTATAAAATGAAATAGGCAGGTAGATATTGAGGCTGATATGGCGCCTCCCCCTTGTCAAACGCCATCAACCCACCCCTAACTCACCGAAGGACAGATGATGAGGCCTTATGGCCCCTCCCCCTTGTCAAACGGCATCAACCCATCCTTAACTCACCGAAGGACAGATGATGAGGCCTTACGGCGCCTCCCCCTTGTCAAACGGCATCAACCCATCCGTAACTCACCGAAGGACAGATGATGAGGCCATACGGTGCCTCCCCCTTGTCAAATGGCATCAACCCACCCCTAACTCACCGACGGATAGATGATGAGGCCATCGGCCCCTCCCCCTTGTCAAACCGCATCAACCCACCCCTAACTCACCGAAGGACAGATGATGAGGCCATACGGTGCCTCCCCCTTGTCAAACGGCATCAACCCACCCCCTAACTCACCGACGGATAGATGATGAGGCCATACGGCGCCTCCCCCTTGTCAAATGGCATCAACCCACCCCTAACTCACCGACGGATAGATGATGAGGCCATCGGCCCCTCCCCCTTGTCAAACCGCATCAACCCACCCCTAACTCACCGAAGGACAGATGATGAGGCCATACGGCCCCTCCCCCTTGTCAAATGGCATCCTCTTCTCCTGTTCCAGAGAGAACATGATGATGGGCAGGATGAACACCAGCGTCTTCCCCGACCCAGTGAACGCAATGCCGATCATGTCCCGCCCACACAGCCTGAAACAACAGCATCGGGTACAGGAACCAGTGAGTGGGGGAGTGGGGGTGTTGATGCTGCAATTCCTTGAAATATAGAGAATCTCACCCAAGTATCTTTTAATCCAGTCATTGACATCATGAACATCGATCTACGCAATTGGGATCGATGACATGCATCAACCAAGTCAGCGAGCCTGACCACCCGATCCCGAAAGTCATTTTTAACGACAAGCATAGTCGCCTTTTACGGCAAGCATGGGTTGCTGAAGACCCATTCTACCCCGGATCTTCAAGGGTAGTGGTCAGGCGATACACCGTTCAGTATCGTGTTATTTTAGTTGCAGCTTTAGGCAGTCTGTAAATAATCATGTCTGGACCTGACAATCCAGTGATTCATATCATGAGCATCAATTTACATAATTGTGATATGATGACATGTATCAACCAAGTCAGCGAGTCTGCCACCCGGTCCCATTAGTCGCCTCTTATGGCAAGTTAAGTTGCCTCTTATGGCAAGCACGGGTTCCTGAAGACCTCTTCTCTACATCTACGCAGTGCACGTCACTCACACAGCGGGAATCCCCTGCATCTGTATGGGAGTGGGCTTCAGGATGCTTTTCTTCTTCAGTCCGTTGATGATTGCTTTGGGGAACTTCATCTCCTGGAAGGTCTTGATGGGGGGCGGCAAGTCCTCTCCCTCGGTCAGGATGTGCATCTTCCTCCTCAGCTTCTCATGACGCTGGAACGGCATCGCCAGGACACGGCGTGGAGGGCGCCATCTGGTGGGGGTGAGGAGGGAAAGTTAACACTGTGAATGACATAGGAGTGAGTGAGTGAGTATGGTTTTACGCCGCTTTTAGAAATATTCCAGCAATATCAAGGCGGGGGACACCAGAAATGGGCTTCACACATTGTACCCATGTCGGGAATCAAACCCAGGTCTTCGGCGTGACAAGCGAACGCTTTAACCACTAGGCTAACCGACCGCCCCTGAATGACATAGCAATGCACAGTCACTACATTGTGTACATTGTGATACATCTCGTTGTTTTTGAAACATGATGGAGAGGATGGAACTCAATTTCTGTCCATGATATTGTGATTGTGTTGTGATGTGTATCGATACATATCTGAACCATCATAAAGCTGTAATATTGCTGAGCGTTGCGGTAAACAATCAACAAACAATCTGAAACATGACGACATCTCTGTGAAAGGGATGAACCTACAATTCTGTATCAATATGTACCAATCAAAGAAATTGGAAATTTTAGTATAAATTTTATATTTATATACTTATTCTATCTCACACTTTGCATATATTATATTAGTGAGTGAGTGAGTGAGTGAGTGAGTGAGTGAGTGAGTGAGTGAGTGAGTGAGTGAGTGAGTGAGTGAGTGAGTGAGTGAGTGAGTATGGTTTTACGCCGTTTATAGCAATATTCCAGCAATATCATGGAATAAAAAAAATATCCCCCCCAAAAATATATATGTTTTTCCACATTGGCATAATTACCTAAAGGCAACTTTACAATGGCAATCTTTTACTGATTTTATCGATATTCGGCATTGATTCGGTTTGATAATGTTCATTATATTATTAGACACCAAAAAGTATTTTGTTTCAGGTCCTCGCACATGCCATTTTTTCACCCAGCTCTTTATCATTTTCAAAATTTTAACCAAGGGCAGGGAACTCTAACATGCTCTTCCAAAAATGAAATTGCAAACTGCACTTGATACAGGAAGATGCACTTTGGGGCAAAGCAAAAGGACAGAAACATAGTACTTATTTGTTATTCCCTGAAAGGACCTTGCTCGTATTATACATTCAGAAACATTTTTTAAGCATTACATATTTTTTTAAAGAAGTAAACAGATAAATGGTTCTTATCAATATGTATATGGGTAAATGTTCTAACCAACGCGTGAAAATATTTCATCAGAATGTTCACACTCACACTGACCACTCTCCCACTAGTGTGGCACCTACCCTGTTTTGATCGGATCCTGATATGAAATACCTTTGGCCAGCTCAGCCACACCCATCAAAGCTGCAAAGAAAGGAATTATTTTGCACTCATCTATGTCAGATTTTTTTTAATGTGTAGGCTATTCTTCTATGACATCAAACTAACAAGAAAACAGCTTTACCACTATCCCCCACCTTGGGGCACTTTAGAATTTTGTTTGTTCATATAGTAGTGAATATAAACTATAAAAATAAGTCCTATAAAACCTTCAGAAGAGATAGGCACTTAGGCTGTTAAAGTCATAAGAAAAAATGATTACCGTATTCGACGTATTAAGCGCCCCGCTCAAATAAGCGCCCACGGCGATATTTGCTGATATATTGGCTAGTGAACAATCCCAATTAGCACCCCTTCCGATTGATCAATGTACAAAAGACACATTTATTCGCGTATAATACGCACTCGTGAGTTATATGCACCCTTAATTATGGGCAATTTCATTCAGGAAAAAATATATCTGTCGTATATAAACATTTCAGGCTGTCAGCATAAACCACGAAATTTATCTTTCAACTCTGTTTTTTTCCACCAAAATACTATTCTAATAAGAGCCCCCTATTTCTAATTTTGAGAGCGCCCTGGGCGCTTATCACGTTGAATACGGTAAATGTGAAATGAATACACACAAAAGGACCCTTCTCTGGAAAAAATAACTCAGTCTTGATAAGTATCTCCTAGATAAGCTCACTTCAGTAGTATCTGAGAAAAATTGTCCCATTGCAGACACTGCACAAAATAACATGGATCAAGGGCCATAACTCTGCAAATAAAAAGTAGTTTACACGACCAAGTGTCAAGCTCAGTCTTGACTAGTATCTCTCAGAAAAGCACGCAAACTTTTATTCATGTAACGTCCGTAGTTTCTGATAAAACTTGTCCCCATTTCACGCAGTATGGAATAAGCTGAAAACCACGAAGCAAGGGCCATAACTCTGTAAAACCATAATTGACAGGACAAAATTTTGAACTCAGACTTTACAAGTATCTCTTAGATCACATGTAAGCATGCAAACTTTCATTCATGTAACTTAAGTCGTTTCAAGCAGTATGCACTAAGTTGAAAAGCATGGAGCAAGGGACATAACTCTGTAAAAAATGAATTTATGACACCAATTTTGGAACTCATTTGAGATTATGACCATTTACATCAGTGTGTAAAATGTAATTTCTCTGATTAAAATAGTGTTTGCAAATTTTGTTGGGTCCACTTTGAGAAGATGACGGACAGAGAGAAAGAAACCCACTTCATGTTGATATACAACAAATTTAACAAACTACTGAATAATAATCAACTGCTCATGTTTCCCGCCCTCCTAGGCAACTAAGTACAGAAGACTGACTGTGATGTATGACCTCTGACCTTTCTTCTCGGCAACGCTCTCCAGGATCTTCTGTTCTTCCTTCAGCAACTTCTCACGAGCTGTCTCCTTGCGAGCTGGAACAAGAACAAGATCAATGTCTCGTTACTGTCTTCATCCACCACACTTTCATGTACAACAAACACGTTCCCCTTTTACCTGACCCCAACACACGTCTCTGTTCCCCTCACAGACAACAACACCCTACTCTTCATCTGTGCCCCAACACCCCCTTACTGCCAAAAATCACCCTCCCCCACCTCCTAATTCCCATACTTGCACCAAACCCCTTCTCATCACCCTCATATGTACCCTTACCTTCACCCCACCCCTCACCTCCCACCATCACCCTCCATGTCCCCTTACCTTCACCCCACCCCTCACCTCCCACCATCACCCTCCATGTCCCCTTACCTTCACCCCACCCCTCACCTCCCACCATCACCCTCCATGTCCGCTTACCTTCACCAACCCCCTCACCTCCCACCATCACCCTCCATGTCCGCTTACCTTCACCCCACCCCTCACCTCCCACCATCACCCTCCATGTCCGCTTACCTTCACCCCACCCCTCACCTCCCACCATCACCCTCATATGTCCCCTTACCTTCACCCCACCCCTCACCTCCCACCATCACCCTCATATGTCCCCCTTACCTTCACCCCACCCCTCACCTCCCACCATCACCCTCATATGTCCGCTTACCTTCACCCCACCCCTCACACCATCACCCTCATATGTCCCCCTTACCTTCACCCCACCCCTCACCTCCCACCCCTCACCCTCATATGTCCCCTTACCTTCACCCCATCCCTCACCTCCCACCATCACCCTCATATGTCCGCTTACCTTCACCCCACCCCTCACACCATCACCCTCATATGTCCCCCTTACCTTCACCCCACCCCTCACCTCCCACCCCTCACCCTCATATGTCCCCCTTACCTTCACCCCACCCCTCACCTCCCACCCCTCACCCTCATATGTCCCCTTACCTTCACCCCACCCCTCACCTCCCACCATCACCCTCCATGTCCGCTTACCTTCACCCCACCCCTCACCTCCCACCATCACCCTCATATGTCCGCTTACCTTCACCCCACCCCTCACACCATCACCCTCATATGTCCCCCTTACCTTCACCCCACCCCTCACCTCCCACCCCTCACCCTCATATGTCCCCTTACCTTCACCCCACCCCTCACCTCCCACCATCACCCTCCATGTCCGCTTACCTTCACCCCACCCCTCACCTCCCACCATCACACTCATATGTCCCCTTACCTTCACCCCACCCCTCACCATCACCCTCATGTCCCTTACCTTCACCCCACCCCTCACCTCCCACCCCTCACCCTCCATGTCCCCTTACCTTCACCCCACCCCTCACCTGCTACCATCACCCTCATATGTCCCCCTTACCTTCACCCCACCCCTCACCTCCCACCATCACCCTCCATGTCCGCTTACCTTCACCCCACCCCTCACCTCCCACCATCACCTTCATATGTCCCCTTACCTTCACCCCACCCCTCACCTCCCACCCCTCACCCTCATATGTCCCCTTACCTTCACCACACCCCTCAGCTCCCACCATCACCCTCATATGTCCCCTTACCTTCACCCCACCCCTCACCTCCCACCATCACCCTTATATGTCCCCCTTACCTTCACCCCACCCCTCACCTGCTACCATCACCCTCATATGTCCCCTTATCTTCACCCACCCCCTCACCTCCCACCATCACCCTCCATGTCCCCTTATCTTCACCCCACCCCTCACCCTCATATGTCCCCCTACCTTCACCCCACCCCACCCCACCCCTCACACCATCACCCTCCATGTCCCCTTACCTTCACCCCACCCTTCACTCCACCCCTTACCCTCAGCCACCCCTCGCTTCCCACCATCACCCTCCATGTCCCCTTACCTTCAGCCTTCTTCTTGAGTTCACTGTGTTGGTCCAGAAGACTGAGGTGAGACTTGGGTCCCAATGAATCCCCTTCAGGATCCTCTTCCTCCTCCTCATTGGTGGAGGACTTCACCTCTTCCTCCTCAGCCTTCAGTATCCCTGCCCGACCCAGCCTCTTCTCCACCTGCTGGACCTGCAAATCATAAAAGCAAAATATTGAAGAATAATCATCATTTAGAGTGAACATAACCATCTTGTGGTCCAATGTCTTGTGGATGTTGTGTACAGCAGCAAGCAGTATCAGTCTACATCACAGGGCAGCCTGTTAAGCATGGTGCATGGTCAAATCTGTGGATGAATCAGGCAAACCAATGGATGGCATCACCATACAATGTAACCACCCAGTCCTCTTTTGACAGACCCGTGAAGATTAGGTAGAATATGTCTTCAGCAACCCATACTTTCTGTAAAAGGTGACTATGCTTGTCATAAAAGGCGACTAACGGGATTGGGTGGTCAGACTCGCTGCCTTGGTTGATGCATGTCATCAATCCCAATTACGTGGATCGATGCTCATGATATAAATTACTGGATTGTCTGGTCCAGACTCGATTATTTACAGACCACCGTCATATAGCAGGAATATTGCCGAGTGCAGCGTTAAACAACAAACCAAACCAAAAACCGCTTTTGACAGCTCTTACAAGATTCAGTATCTGGTCCATCTCTGTCTGTGCCTTAGTAATCAGTGCTTTCATTGACCTCAGGAATCTAATATTCTCATAAAAACAATGAAATTGTATTCATTGTTAACTTTCAAAAATCCCTCTATATATAAATGCACCACGAATGAAATGTCATTTCCACCCACGACCATTCATCGTGTGGTATTTTAATGAAACGATCAATCCTAGCATATGTTCATAAGATCTCAGCATGAACTTGAATGCAAACTGACACATTTAAACTAGGGCTGGGACGGGTAACTCAGGTACCCGGGTCGGGTGGGTACAGTGCTGAGTAGGACCCGGGTACCCACAGGACTACCTGGACCCGTGGTTAGTCACATGATATATTGTTTAATGACAAAAATTATCTAGAACTCTATGGTTACACTAAAGTCACTAATGTTCGCATTTCTTTTTGACTATGCACCCATTCCTTCTGATTTTTTATGTGGTTGAATATAGATATAACTTAATTGAACTTCAGTGTATGAATGACCAGATTGTTTGATACAAGTATCTAAATATGTTTTGCCAGGGCTATGCTAAAAATGTTCCCAATTGGATATTTTGAGACATCTCCTGAGACCTACAGAGGGTACCCGGGTAGGGTCGGGTAATAGGGTGGTGGGTACCCGGGTAGTAAATTTGGACTCGTCCCAGCCCTAATTAAAACCGATCCCTACCGCTTTTATGTCTTTATCATGCCTATCGCACAATGTTATGTGAGATACTCCAGCATTTACTCTCTTGTCCAAGAATCCATAACATGATGACTACAAGTGCCAGACAATTCCAGGTGATGCTACATCAGTAAATCCAGTGTCCACGCCCTCTAATATAGACTCCCGACAAATTCATTGCGGGAGTTAATTTTTATTGGGTTTTTTTTATCACTAAACTAAATAGCTTTATTACCTACAAGGGCAAACATATCGGGTTTCATAAAAATCATAGGTGCCCTAGGGTCAAATCACATTACGAGACAACAGTGTATTGTTTCCGTAATCCGGACTGCATTGTTGAAGTCATTCGAATCTGTTACGTGAGGTCAGAATGACGTCACATTAGAAATGACGAAGATTGCATGTTGAAGTCATTCGACAAATTGTGGTTCCACTGCTGTTGTGACTTGCTGTCCTTATAGGTAAACACTAAAACTAATCTCTGTATGTAGACATCTTCTTCAGTAATAAATGGAACATTATATTTGCGTTCATTTCAAACTATGTTTACGACACTAGTGCCTATAAATTCTGGTATTTCCAGAGTGATTGCTCGGGAAATACCAGAACTTAGACACTCATGTCATAAACATAGTATGACATGAACACTCATTTAATGTCCTCTATGTATTCCTACCTGCTGTTTTTTTCTCTGTTTGATCGGAACATACGGCACATAGTTGTCGTCATCAGATGACTCGGATTCCTTTTCTTCTCGGGCATAACGCTGCAAATAAAGTAAAGATTAGTTTGACATAACCCTACATTGTAGATCATTCGGTCTGTCATGGAAAGGTTTCCACAATGCTATCGGACAAGGTTCCTTCAACATGGACAAAGACTAAACTTACAGAGTAAACTTTGCTCTTCGAATATCAATAGATAGGATTGCAGATTTCGACGAGAACTTAATTAGCCTAGATTAAGATGTCAGCATTGTGTAATTGTGCAGTGATCAACCCATACATACAATAAAACATATAAATGGACGGGATTTTTTATAAACAAATGATTTGTATTAAATTGATATATATCTATGAGTTTCATAATAAACAAGACAAAGCATGGATCAGCAAGCGGTACAGCTCTTGTCAGATTCTATTTTCAGTTCACTGAATATCCGTATTCACATAAAATAATTGTAAAGTGGCTTTAATTGTAGAATTATCCTACTTTTCGAGCATATGATCCCGGTTCCATGTTGAGCGAACTGGGTCCCGATGAAACTTGTGTCAATCAGATATCAACAAGAACATGTTGAAAACGTCCGGGCACTGTAAGTTAGAGTTACGTCCCTTTGTACATTATAGTCACCTAACAACTTTTATAATACAATGTCGCCTCTATGTGGATTGGAAAAGGTCTCTTGTAAATTGTGAGGGTGAACCAAGCAAGCGAACTGACATATAAGACTGAATCTATTTTTTCATTATTTTTTTCTTTTTGAGCTACAGTCAGGAGATGTTGTTAACTTGTTTTTTAGTTGTTTGATACTGAGTATCCATTTGGTATATTCCAGCCGCCAAAAGAGGATCGGGTGGTCAGGTTCTGTGCCTGCGTGTCAGGTGCCCAAATGGCGTGAATCGTTTTTTATTGTTTCATTCACTGCCAGGCACTGGTTTGTCTGGTCCAGATTCCATTATGTAGAAAGCCGTGATATGGCTGGAATGTTTTGGCTGCGGCGTCAAACGATATCCACTCACTCGCTGTTTGAATGGACCTTTTTCCCCTGTTTTTCTGTGTTTTATATATGTTTTTTATCTTTTACCAGTACTTAACATTATTACTGTCACTTCGCTTGACCTAAAATCCAAACGTCACGTGCTCGTGGCTTTCACCTGAGTGGTAAACGTCTAAGATCTGCATCACTTCGGGCTTTTCTCCCACATTAAGCTGACACGTCGTGACATAACTGGAATATCGTTCAAAGTGGCGTTAAGCCTTCCCACCTCACTCACTCACTCACTAGATAGTAAACAGTGCTTAACCCTTTTCCAGGTGCAGATATATCACTAAATAGTTTGAACTTGGAAGGCCATAAATTCAAACATAATTTGAACAAAATAACAACATACCGGCACTTACCGTATTTAGGCCAGCGCGGATATACGCTCATGGGCCTAAAAACGGAAAACATTTCTGTATTTCGGCCCCTGGGTTTAAATTCGGATATTAAATTTGGAGTGATCTTCCTTAAATCAGTACCTTACTTCCTTCGAAAGTTAATACGTCGCGATGGACTATGCATGTCAAATCTTAAAGTACATTCAACAGTGCGAGTGCATTCGATGAAGTTATTTCCTGTTCAAATGTTAAATCCGTGAATTATATTTTCTCATTTAAAACAACTGAACAGTTTCTGATTTATTTCAGCGAGGGCGTCCCCTATTTAGGTAAGAAAGCGAAAGTTTTCGAAATTAAGCCCAGCGCTCAATTTCGGAAACTTACGCTTGGAATAGAATATTTTAAAATGAGAAAGGGCTATTTACCCTTATTAGGCCTGGGCCCCGTTCCTCAAAGCGATCTTAGCGCTACTATGATCGTAACCATATGTTAAAGTATGGGACTTAAAAATTACGATCACCTTAGTGCTAAGATCGCTTTGAGGAACGGGGCCCAGGGCCTTAATTGCAGTAAACCCCGGTAAATTATTCTACCAACTTCATCTATGTTATAATTCTACGCAGTAAGAAGTCGACAGAACTGGAAATGTCGGCCAATCTAATCACGATCGCTTAAATGATGCAAAGACGCACTCTTGGTGATGATTCATCCACTTAGGGTGTGAGAAATATCACAAATAAGCGCGAATGACGTCAACAGGGGCCATGGTCGACTTGACCAAAGTGGAAGACGCCTGACACCAGCGTCACTTCGGGCTTTCCTCCCACGCCAAGCTGACCCGCCGTGATATAAGTGGAATACTGTTCAAAGCAGCGAAAAACAAACACATTCACTCAATCCGATACGATTACCGGGTGGAGACACAATCAAGGTTATTTTTCATAATAGAATGGGACAACACAAGATGATCGAGGAGGATGCCACTGTTCGTTGTCTATAGCCAGCCTATAGGTTTACACGTTGTAATAAGAGCTTGTGTGTCAGTTTGTCCCGGACCGTCTCCCTGGTTCAGTGATAGAGCGTCCGCCCGGAGAGCGGGTGGTCCGGCTTCCGATCCCCGGCCACGTCATACCAAAATACGTTGAAAGATGGTACTTGTTGTTACCCTGTCTGGTGCTCGGCATTAAGGGGCTAAAACAGGACTTGTCGGCTCGGAGTCAGTATAGTCTGAGTGGGGTATCATGTCATGTTAAACTGCGGCATGGTACCTCAGTGGGCTAGCATATTAACTCGGGAATAATTTGGACGCGACGTTGAACCCCATTTCACCTCATCCCAGCCGTGTTCAAGATATATGATGGCGGCCTGCAAAAAAATCGAGTCTCAAAAAGATAATCCAGTGATCGATATTGTGAGCAACTACCCACTCCTTCGGGGTAAGATGCCAAATAATCAACCAAGTCACTGGGCCTAACCACTCCATCCATTTGGTCGCCTCTAAGGACCTATTGTGACCCTGGACCCCTACGTTTGTTTGTTTGTTTGTTTGTTGTTTTACGCCGCACTCAGCAATATTCCAGCCATATGACGGCGGTCTGTAAATAATCGAGTCTGGACCAGATAATCCAGTGATTGACATCATGAGCATCGATCCACGCAATTGGGATACGACGACATGCATCAACCAAGTCAGCGAGCCTGACCACCCGATCCCGTTAGTCGCTTTTTACGACAAGCAAAGTCCCCTTTTACGGCAAGCATGGGTTGCTGAAGACCTATTCTACCCCGGATCTTCACGGGTCGAATCCCTACGTACTGATGGAATATCATCATAAAATTTGAGAAAGTAGACACAGAAGTGATTGGACGACTAGAATCAAACTTCGAGGAGTGCCAAATAGCCCGAGATTACTTCATCAACAGTTTTTTCGATCAAAGACATTTTCCGATTTCCACAATCCTTGCGCAAGTATTGACATTATAGAACATATACTAGTCAAAAGAAGTTAAGGATCGCTCGATTCTTTCATATTACAATAGGTAATATGTTCTTCCATGACAGATTAAGGGTGGTCCTTAACTTATTTTGAGTATTATATGATTTATACTAACACATGTTCAAAGATGGTCCCATTTCATCAAAGCCGATTTATTCTTTGTTATTTAGGTCGTGCGACTATATACAGATCAAGGGCGTGGCTGGTTCTGCTGCATCCAGTAAGCGACGGATGTCTGACGGATAGGACATCACAAGACAATAACCGGATACTAAAACGGATGTACCTCTAGGATACCAAATACGATTGATTTCTTTTGCAAATAATAACAGAATCATAAACGTGACACTAACTTCCGAATATGTCACGATTTCAAAACTAACTTTTTTATATTGTAAGAAAGCAGAGAATCTAAATACACAGTGACAACTCGTTAATTCGAACTCTATTGTAAACCTTCATGTATCGTTTAAGACTATACTATTTTATGGTCAGTGCATCATCTTGATGGGTAATATGGTCCGGATAAGTCGATATATTTTCATTGGACCATTTCATACTGTAGGTATGCACTAACCCTCTTTGATGGGCAATGGATCAGGCAGATGATAATTAGTGGAGAATATGTTTATATATGTGGTTCATATGTACTTGAACAGGAGATACACATTTATTGAAAGGTAAGAAAATAGTAGTACATGTAGTTGGTTGGTTGGTTGTTTAACACCGAACACAGCAATATTCTAGCTATATGACGGCGGTCTGTAAATAATCGAGTCTGGAACAGACAATCCAGTGATTATTATCATGAGCATCGATCCACGCATTTGGGATCAATGACATGCATCAACCAAGTCAGGGAGCCTGACCTCCCAAACTTGTCAATACAGGGTTATATAAGATGCCTTTTAAGGTATATGATTTATTTAAATTTTAAATTCACATCTTCAGAAGAAATATGGAATCATCCAGCCAAAATCATACACTATACACCACTACGCTTTACATCTTTGAAGAAAAAGACAATATGATTATAATAACACTGTCACAGTTAGTTATTCCTTTAGGATATACGATCTCACAGTTATCCGAGCTGAGTGTTGACGGCAGTTCGTGAAAAGAACATAAGTGTGCTCTACAAGTTCCGTCCAATGTACTTACATAATACAACGCCTACGTGTGATGCCAGATGCCTGTCATGAATTAGTTGACATTACATGCACGCAACAATATCAAATTTCTTATAAACACTGACAGTTGAGCTTGGATATTTATTAACTGGTAATCACGAGTAAGGCTCCGAAAACAACCGAGTTGGACTTTGTACATTGTGTCATACACGGATCAGGTAATTGTTTGGTGTAAGGAAGATGATATTACGTCAAGGTTCGCGCATGTTAGTGTTGATAAATACACAAACGCGCAGGGACCCATGTACTCCTATTCATGTCGGAGTATGCTAGTAAACAAATTGCACAATTTAGAAGACCGTAGCTTGTTATTATTCGCTTTTACTTTTCTGTCATTCAGACCCAGAAACAATATCCAATACACCCTATGCAAGTCTATAATATTTGGCAAGTCTAGATCACTGCAGTCTCAGCACCATACCCGTGCTCGTGGATTTCGAGATTGAAGAAAGTCTGTTGGCATATTTTTGTTATGTTTTATTAAGATAATTTAACAACTGGTTTTTATTTGTAAAATGTGTTCATTTCAGAGACTAGATTTTAGTCTGCGCTTTCACATTGAGACACATGTCTATGTCTACTCTCACATCAGTGTTCAACATGTTCAATGCAAAATCCTGTCTCAGATACATTCACTACCACTGTGCTAGATAAACAGCGAAATGTAAACTAAACGACCTGATATTTCATTAAAGAGAAGACATACATTTGCACTACGAAATATACTGAACCGCAAAAGAAACGTCATCTTAAGTAACACTGCATGAAGAGTTGTCATTTAAATATCATGTTAATTTTTGTCAAAGTTTCTAAAATTTAACATTACCTTGTCCGGAAAAATGAAAATTGATGATAAAATAACAAAGCATATGACAATAAAACCGATCGCCCGAACGCATCACGGCAACGACCATGGTAACCCAATGCACTTGAGTTCCGTGCAAATTGAAATGCATATGCGTTCCCCCATTTCTTGCCCTATAAAAATCCACCCACATCGGATAATATTCATTCTTTATTGAATTGCTACCACATGCCAAGATTGACAAGAAATCAACAACACCAAG